AATTAGTAAGAGTCATGACTAGCATCTGCAGGTTGTCAAGTTTCTAAACTGCTTTATTTCTTTTTCCCATGGGGGTTGAGATGGCGGTTTCTGAGGCAAGCGTGGTGGGGTGAAGAGGCAGCATTATTCCAGGAAGTGTTAGCCTAGTCTAGTGGCCCACACTCTGCATTCTGTGCAGGTCTTTACTTAAATTACGGAACTGATTACAGTCATTCTCCCAAATAGTTTACTTTCTCTGACAATTTTCTTTTTCATTGTGAGTGAACCATATCTACTGGCTTAATTTATAAAAGTCAGTCTGCCCATCAAAGAGCCTTAGGGTATAAAAACGGAGAAAATTCATAATTAAAGTATTAATAGAGTTCTAAAAGCTAGCAGAAACAATGATTTTAAAAAAACACAAGCACCAGATCTATAAATTAAGCATAAAATTACACTGTAAAATAATTATTTCCTGCTTGTTTCCAATCAAGGTGGCTCAGCAGACTGCAAAGACAATATCCTATGCAACAGACCATCTAATAAATAAATGGTCCTCATCAAAACAGGCATGTAATTTCTGCATACAGGCAGCACTGTCTTTCCTTAGTTACTCCTTAGCCACTTCAGCAAATTTATATTTGAATGAAGAGAAACAGAAAGTGTGTAGGAAACAGGGAAGCTGAGCAGGTGTCTTTCAGTTTGCAGCTGGCCCAGCGTGGCCACAAAGCTCCCAAAGGTCAACAGCGCATGCCTGGAGTCACGTTACTCTATTCTGGGGGTTCTCGTTTTTCAGATGGACCTTAAGAGGCCGAGGTGAAGAATATTCTGTGCACATGGGGGAGGCAGCAGGGACACACAGGGTCACCCATCCCTACCAGGCAGGTATCCGTTTCTAGGAGAAAGGCCATTCACAAATGGAGGCATTTCCATGAATGCTGAGGATCTTAGACACACAGTTTGTACACACAGAGAAACCCACAGTTTGCTCACAGAAAAGGAAATATTTCAACTGATGCTAAGCATAAAATGTCCCTGAGAAATTATCTTGGTGAAATTTTTCTTTTTTCACATTATTTTGATGTCAAAAAAACATTTTTGGGGATCTCTAAAAAAAAATCCAAGGTCTTTTTATAGGACCAAAATAACTATTTGCATCCTGCCAAGTAAAGTAACTACTCAATAAGCAGAATTTGGGCCTCACACTCTTAAATAATTATTACACAGTACAAACTCTGTTAGATACTACTGATCTCCTCTCCCCAACCCCTCCATCTTCTGACACTCAGCAGAAAATATTTTACATCAGAGCCATATAATAGAGTCCAGAGGAGACATAAGAGGTAGACAAGTGATTTATAGGAAAAGAATATAAATGTGAATTCTCCACCACTAATGGCCCAGAGTGCTCAGCTTTGAAAAACAGATTTTCTCTGGAGAAAGAGTCCTTTCACACAACTTCAAATGCACTACCAAAGTAATAGCTGGAATGGATCTTCCTACTTGAAGCAGCTTTAGCATTGTACTAACGCGCTAAACTCCTTCTCCTGCAGACCAGACACCATGGGCAGTTGCTTCCAGGAGGTTGGAAGCGGCCTACAAAGTGAGCCAGGCAGTGTCAGCTCCAGCTGGCTGAACACTCACATTATGTGGAGCAGAGAGACTGTGAGGTCAGGCTCCTCCCTCCCCCAGCAGGCCTGGCACCAGAGAACACCATTAAAATTTCTCCTTGAAAGAAACAGGTTTGTCACACGCAGAGTCTGGAGCATCCCCCATGTCCCACAACTGCCACTGCAGATGTTTTTAGCAAATGACCAAACGCTGGTAGTATCTGGGATTCCCACAGAGGACTCTCTTGCTAAGGAAATATTGTCATATTTGTTTTCCACAGAGATAACCACTTCTGAATCCTCGTCTATAATAGTTTCTCTAATAAGAGATCACCAGAATTTAATAAGAGTTTTATAAAGTCCCCCCTAAGGTCATATCCAATCTGAGCCCTTTAATTCTAACCCACCATCCTTTTCACCTAGATCAACTAGATTGAATCTTTGACAGCGATCATTTCAAAAGCAAACAGCTGTCTCCTCCAAAATCGCCCTTTTTTCACCATAGAAACATCCCTCATTTTTCATCCCATAACCACCTACCAAAGCCAGTTCTGTGAAACCCAAACCCCATCCCTAGGTCTGGGGAGACGCAGTGAACAAGGCCCTGTCCCCACCCACCCCTGCACCAGGACATTATAGACAGGAGGCCAAAAGGCTCTCCACATCCCTCTCCTACCTTCAGCTCACATAAAGCAATTCATCTGGTGTCCTACTTTTAGTTTTTATTCAAAATCTCTGAGTATGAAGGTATATTTGTACGCAGACCGAAAGGCTGAAAAATATTAACATATATGAAGGCAAGAAGCAAAACCACACAAAATCCCCTCACTTAGACACAATGGCTACTAAAACACGAGATGGGACAGGGAGAAAGCAAGACAAGATCTTTCCAGGACTTTCCAATGTATGTGAATACACAATTGCATGTTCTATTTTTGGACAGTGCACGGATGGAGAGAGGAGGGCCAAGAACAAAGAAGAGAGGGAGAGAAACAAAAAAGAAACAGTGACTAAAGCAAAAAGACAGAGGCAGAGAGGAGAGAGACAGAGGTATGACAAGCAGGCAAGTGTCCTTAAGTCGATAGAGGTCGCCTTCTTCACTGGATGACCAGCCAGAATCAGGGTCCAAGGAGCCAGTTAATGAGCCTCTGTACTGTCTCCCTTACCCAGCGCACTGTCTACAAACTAAACCCCCTGCAGTGACCTTCTGCTCACATGCACAGGGCCACTGAGATTACAGTGGGCCTACTACCACAAAGCACTGCTGCTTCCTACAGTTTAATTCTTTCTTTCTTTCTTTTGGGTTTTTTGAGACAGAGTCTCACTATGAAGTTCAGGCTGGCCTTGAAGTCACTATGTACTTATTCCAGGCTCGCCTCAAACTCTCGAAGATCCTCCTGCCTCCGCCTCCCAAGGGCTGGGATTACAGGTGTGTGCCACCAGGCCCAGCTCCTTCTTAATTTTTAAAGAGCTATACGTTTAGCAGCCTTTAGAGGATTGAGAAAATATGAGTGACTTCCACCATGATTTTATTTTTCTGTGCTGGGGATTGATCCCCAACTGCTCTACCACTGAGCTACATCCCCAGACACCATCAGGAAATTTTAACGCCATATTTTAAATTTTACTTATATTTTACTTAAACTTATATCTGGCGAACTTGTCACCTCTCCTGTTTTGACATTAAACAGGAGTATTTGGCAAACAGGCAAAGAAAAATCTATTTATAGTGTGGCAAAAGATTCTGGCTGAGTCTAAAGTCAGTGCCAGAGAAAGCAGACTAAGGGCATTCAAATGTTCTAGGGCTTATTTTTTTTTATTATTATTAAAAATACAACCAAGAGATATGTCAGGGCCAAAAGAACCAAACTGACAAATAATTCAATTCTTTACGTGGGAGTTTTGATCTCAAGTGGGCAAAAGCTATGTTTCCACTCTGTATACAAAAGGAGGGCAAAGACAGTGTCAGTCTCCACCAAGGGCCCCCCACCTGCACAGATACCCACCCAGGAAGTGTTCTTCATGTTTCCAGCTGAGCTTGAGGGGTTACTCTCAAGACAGTGACAGCCACTGAGCATCCAGGTGCCTCACATGATCTGGGGTAGGGGGGACCAGGACCACAAAAGCATTAACTCCTATGCCTGTGCCATGGCATCTGTCTGAGAAAGCCACTCCTGGAAAACAGCAGAGATGTTTCTAAGTGACGCTCAGCAGCAATTGCAGCCAGCCCAACCCTGCCCTACACAAAGCCACTGCCTCTGGAGAAAGTGGGTGCATCTCAGCCCCCTTCAGCCTCCTTGTGAGGAAGGCAGGCCAGTCCCACAAGCAGCCTCCTGCCAAGCCTTAGGAAATGTGAACACGCGGAGCTCCCAATGCATCTGTGACTGTATGCAATGACTCTGGTCATTTAAAAACCATAATACAGCCTGCTGGCACATACCTGTAATCCCAGGTACTCAGGAAGGAGGCAGGAGGAGGGTCAGCCATTTCCTTATTGCTTCCCAATCACAAACTCTCCAGATCTCCCTCGATTCCTTGGTGTGAAAACAGCCAGCAAAGGCACCCAGCTGGCTTCACCGCCAGCCGAACGGCATAAATCAACTTTAGAGCAGTGATTACGCAGGGGGCAAGGAAAGCCACGAGCCTCTCGGTCCCTTCTCTGCCATCCTAAACCTCATTCATTCAGTCTCATCTTTTGATAACACCGATGTGGCTCCCGTCAGCTGCCCTGAGACATGGCAGGTGGAAGATGGGAGGAAGGAAGTAGAGCCCACCCTCACCCTGGGCGAAAAGGGAATGAGACCCTCCCCTTACCCCCCACCCAGCTCTTGTAATATGGCGCACGCCAAGACGCCCCGCACAGAGGGACCTGCTTGCTCCCAGATTTGTCTGTAGCTCCTCTCACACTGGGCTGCTCCTGGCCACTCACAGATAGGAAGGTCGCTTGCAGCCACGGGGGAGGAACCTGCCCAGCTGCAGGTACTTCGGCAGGGACAACAGGAGGGGCAACTCAAGAGGTGAGGCAACCAATCCCTTTTCACCAATGAACCCAATCAGGAGGCAAAACTCAGGTGTTTGCTAATCCCTTGCAGTTGCACTAAAATTCACAGCTATTGCTTAACATTATATTTCTTTTGGGGGGAGGGTTTGAGACTCTCAACTACCTAGTGAGACACCAGCACTGTGCCACTGAGTTAAACCCCTGGTGCAAGTTTAGCTTTTTAAATGCCACAGCTGACATAATCAAGATCACAGATGAGCAGATGGAGCTACATTATTATTTTAAGAAAAATTTTTCAGGATGAAAACAGTGCACGACAGAAAGAGCACTTTGCCCCACCCGACACACTGGACAGCCCCACGGGTCAGACTCCAGGGCCAGAGGACACAGCTTTAGATTCTTTCTCTTACCCAGTTTTGTTTCCTTCGGTGCTTTCACTGCTCACCTCCGATGCTGCTGCAACAAACAAGCGAAAAAGCAGAATGATGGTGGCCACCTGATACCTCAGCCCCTCAGTTGCCAGCACCTGCTGAGGCCACCTGGGACCCAGGGGTCACTCCCTCAGCTCCTGACCAGAGCAGCGAGGGCCTTACCTGCCATTGTTCATCCTGACCAAAGATGAGAGACTATACTCGGTGAAGTCCTGCTCCCAAGTAAAAGGAGGAGAAGAGATGAATAATGAATAAGCCACCAGAACCGGAAGTGGCTGGTAAGCAGGAGGCCTGAGTGAATAAGAAGAAAGGGCCGTGTTTTCTTCTTAAGGAAGAAGCTCAGAGAGAGGGGGCTCATATTCCTGAGCTGAAAACCAAGCTTCAATGTGCACAGGTTAGTGCGGAATGGCGAAAAACCAAGTCATGGGGTCCAGAAGACTCCAAGAGGTCATTTACTATCAAGGAACCGTCTTCGAGAGCCTGCTCACCAAGTTTCTGCATCTGGCTCGACAGGCCCGTGGGTTCTGAGGAATCTATCCACGTCCCTCCCTTTCTCTTTGTTCCATTCCTAGGAAAGTTTATTTCCAAAACAGTTTACTGTTGGAAGCACAAAATCTCAACTATTGCCATTCACTGAGTCTTTTGTCCATGAGTCCTTCCCTTAACAAATATTTAGGAAACCTCTGTGCTGCCGCTGAGACAGAAAAGAGAGACCCAGAATATCTCCATTCAGGCTGGAGTCCTGTGGTGCTACTCACCTGTCACCGTCGGTGGCCCACATATTATGAGGCAACTCCTTCAGAAGTGGCTCACCAAAGTATTCCAGATCCTTCTTGCCTCAAACAAAGAATTGGACGGGACAAGCTGGTGCTGAAAATTTAGTTGAAAAATGAGGACGGAAGGGGTAAGGGAAAAACTGGCTCTGCAGAGCCCAACTTGGGGAGAACAAAAGATGAAATGAGAAAAAGAGCAAAAACAAAGGTACACCAGACTCCTCCTGGGGTCTGGACGCCTCATGCCATTCGCATCTCGCGAGAGCTGGAAAAGTTCTACATCCGGGGTCCTGAGAGTCATGTGGCACCGCCCTGGGATCTTGCAATTGACAGGTGTGCCTTATTCTCTAGCCAGCTTTGCTCTGCCCTGCCTCCTGTCTCACAACACCGGGCTTCGCTCCTGAGTTTAAGTTGCCCAGCAGCCCCTTCTCCAGCTCTTAGCATGTCCCAACCAGACTCCAAACCCTCCTCACCCAGCCTATCTCAATTAACAGCAACTCGTGGTTCCCCGTTGCTCAGGATTTTGCTTGAAATGGCGGTGCTTTCTGCATTAGTCAGAGTCAGTTGGGAACCAGAAACCACAATTATTATAACAGAGTTTTGTGTAGATGATTGCTAATCAGGTAGAACAGATCCTGAAAGCAAACCAGGGCCCCTGAGATAAGTGCAGAAATAGCAACTGCAGAAAGCAGCCTCCATCCCAGGACTGGGGTCACAGGACCTGTCCTCTTCAGACCGGAGCTCTGAGGAGGGATCACAGCCAGAAGGCACTGGTCCTTCTGAGGGGCCCAGTGAGGCTGGTCCCAGAAGTGTGGCGAAAGCTGGAACTTGGAACCAGCCACCACAGCAGAGTGGCTGAGAGGAACCGGAAGTCTATGTGATGTCCGTGTCCCTGTCGCTCCACACCTTTCAGGGGAGCCGACTGGGTTGCTAGCTGGCAAGGCTGAACAGGTCTGCGGAGAAACGCTGGTGAGCGGCGTGAGGGAGCTTGTTGGACGCTTGGATGCCACACACACACACAAAAAACTTTTATGCCCCACCTCCAACCTGCCGCCAAATCTGTTCTACCTTTTAGACATGTCTAGGGGTTCATTGGTTCTTGTTCTATTCTAAGCACCAAGTCTTGCCTGGATTACTGCAGCAGCCTCCACGGGGTGGTCTTTTGCTTCCCCAAGCCTGTTCTCCTCCCAGAGGCCAACGCCATGAGTTAAGCAGAGCTCCCATACCACTGTCAGTCCTCCCTCACTGTCCTCTGGAGACCCTGGATGCCAACATCTGCTGAGGCTCAAGTCTTTTCAAAGTATGTTTTGCATGTAAGCTACACACATCCTCCTGTATACTTTAAATCACCTCTAGATTACTTATAATATTTAATACAGTGTAAATGCTGAGTAAATATAGTTGATATGCTGTAATGTTTAGGAAATAATGACAAGAAAAAGTGTGTACATGTTTAATACAGAAGTGAGTTTTTTTCTAATACTTCCAATCCTTGGTTGGTTGAAACCTGCAGATACAGAGAGTCAACAATATCACAAACTCAGTAAAAACAAAAGAAATTCACTGTCTCATAGTTCTGGAAGCCAGAAGTCTGAAATGAAGGTACCAGTGAGGTTGGTTCCTTCTTCAGGCCCTGGGGGAGGATGTAGATGTTGTGTTCTCCTCTCCTAGCTTCTGATGGCGACTGGCAACACTGGAGTCCCTCCCCGTGTGTCCTTCCCGTGGCTGCCTTTGTCTTCACACTGCCTCTCCTCAGTGTTTCTGCGACCATGTCTCTTCTTATAAGAACGCAGTCATTAGATGGAAGGCCCATCATAAATCTAAAGCTCCTTTACTTAGTTACATCTGCAAAGACCCTATTTCCTATTTACTGGCACTTACAATGGGCACTTTAGGGGCCACTCTTCAAATCATGGTAGTGATCAAATTATAACACAACCAAACACTATCACATCAACTCATTCTTGTCCCCAAAACCCTCCAAACGCCTCACCCTGAGTAGAAGCCACATGTAACACCATCTGGCCACTTTGCCTCTCCAATCTCCTCTCAGCTTTCTTACACCCCTGCAATTTCTCTGTTCCTCAGTTCTTGGGCCTTCGCACATGCTGTCCATCTCTATGGAAAATCCTCCCTCTGGACACTTCTGCAACTCCCTGAGATGCCTTCAGATCTGTTCTCAAAAGCTGCCTCTTCAGTGAGGCTTCTTCAGACCACACTAAATGAAACTCAGCCCAGTCCTCATTCCCTACTTTCTTACCACAGTGCTGGACCACATAACACACTACATATCTTGATTTTTATTGTTTTCTATCTCCCACTATTAAAATGTAAGCTCCTTAAAGACAAGGATGTTTTTTGTTGTTGTTGACCCCATTCACTTGCTCTCCCTAACACTTAGAACAGGGCCTAGCACCAACAAGCCCTCGGTAATTGTACTTTAAAATGCAGTTGTATACTACTGGAATTGCACAAAATGGAGTTTGCTAGCAGACTCCACCAGTGATTAGCATACCCTGTAGATTCAAGGGTACAGGCCAATCCTGGACCACATGTCCATATCCTAGCAGGGGTAGGAGAGGTGCTTGAGGCCCACTGGCTTCTATAGCAGATGGGATAAGCCCAGCTTTCCACCGAGATCCCCTCCAAGTAACAAGGAGGACTGGACAAGCAGCCAAACACACACCTAATTCCAAAGGTCTAAGACAGAGCCAACCAAATGAAAAATATAATTATTCTAGGATCCTTGGATTTTAGATCAAACACCTTGAATTACATTTCTAAATATTCTTTTTCATTTGAGGAGATGCCAAATTCATTTGGGCACTCACTTATAACCTACATGGATACCAAGTGAAAAATTCAGCCTTATGGCTCTGATTCATTTCTGTATGAATCATATTAATGATATTTACAAAGATCTGTGTGAAGCCCCAAATTATGCCTTTGAAGACAGGAAGTATGATTTATACCCAGAGTCGACTGATTGGAATCCCAAACACACCTGTGTTCAAGCTGAACCTTGTGCCATGAGTCATTTTAAATAATTAAGTCTCCAAGTGCTTGCAAGTTTAATCATTTAAGTACAAAAATTGTAAATTTAATGGTGTGAGACAAAAATCTTTCTGAACAAATACATTCCAAGTTCATTAACAAGGTAAAGTGAATACAATTTTACTTTCTCTTAGAAACAGGTTCATCAATAAATGGCCAACTCTAGAATAGATGTAAGACTTTAAAGATTCTTAGATAACAAACTAAATAAGTCAGAAAGTTGGCTTTGAATTCTTGTGATGATTACAGTAGTTTTTCTGTCTCCTTTTCTGATGGCACCTGTCATTTCTTACTATCTGTTTACCTACATGTACCATCTTCTGCCATATTTATTTGCTGCTTAACTTGTTTGAATTACAGGTAAAGTTTGTGTAAATGAGTTCCAGTTGGAGTCCTGAGAGATTTATATTTGGATAAACTAAAGTTGTTCCTATCTTTTTTTTTTTTGGTACCAGGGATTGAACTTGGGTCCTTGCGCTTGCAAGGCAGGCCACCGAACCGCTGAGCTAAATCCCCAGCCGTTCCTTTTTTTAAAAAAAATGAGTAGGTTACAAATAAAACAAGTGAAACATTTTGTGACTTCTATCCTGGCTTCTCACAAGTTTCATTGTTTTTTCTTCCTTTGTGGTTCTTGGTTGGGTCCTCCATGGGTGGTAAGTTTCCCACTGGGGTGATTTGGTTTTGGGGGCACTTCTCCCTCCCTACACCATCATGGGCACCACTTGGAGGGAAATATAACCAGTCACTTGGATTAGACACTAATTGAAATTGCTGAGGGAAAGACTTGCCAACGATTGTGGCAGAAGGCAGAAAAGTCCTAAGAGGCAAAAGATGATACTACAAAACTTTCCTCATTCTTTACAAAGAATTACTGAAAGCTTGGCTGTGAGGGGGCGACCACCTACGAGGGGACCTAAGGCTGTCAGACTCCATGCTTCCCAACCCGGAAGAAATGGCTCCCAGGCATGGCTTTTTCTTCCTCTTCCTCTTCTGCCTCCCACTGCACTACACCCTCCAGCTCCCGAGTTTCTCTGTACCACGAGAAAACCCCTGCCCAATGTTTCGTGATCATCCTGGGGAACATTTTCAGTGGGTGAGTGAGGCTCCAACCAATGAATTCCTTACACAGCAGAAATCACAACTACTCCCAGGAGCCTGCTCCTTGGCTCAGAAAGAGCCCTGCTGCTCTGTTCCCCCCACACTTCCTGGCACAGGACTGCTGAGGCACTGCGTTCTCCCCAGTACCGGCAGGCTGCAGAGGCCTCCAGAGAGCAGCAGCTCCATCCTGGAGCGTGCATCACGTCTTCACCCTCTGCTCCCAGACAGCCTGGCCTGAGGGCTACTTCTACAGCCCCTCTGGGCAACTCAGGCTCACTTGACCTACTTTCTATAAG